TAGTTTTTAGAGTAACTACAAATTTGGTTCTTAAGGCTTGTCAAAAGTAATTGTTTTTACAGTTTTAAAATCCCAAGATGGTTATTATAGTTTGTAAAAACGCTGAATTGCTTCCCTTCTATTAACTATCATTGATAATTCCGTTAAATGTTAATCATTTTTGTCTTTTTATCGATTTATTTTGCCTTCAACTCAATAAAAATGGATTTTATAAAATTTGGTTTTTATATTTTTCAATTAGATAAAAGACAAAAACATCAATAAAAGGACGGAAAATGTTGGTTGTTAACAGAAGTTTAACAACCATTAGAGAAAACTGAAATTCTGACATTTTTGTTATAATATTGAAAGAGCAGGGACTAAAAGTGTTTTTAACAAACCAAAGCGACCAAATTTGTAGTATACTCTAGGTATAAACTTCACCCACCCAACCGGCAATTGTGGTACGTGTTCCACCCTATCCTTGAAGTCTCCGCGTACGTGCCGACGTTATCTCCACCGTCCACCGCCTTCCTTTCCCATTCCTAGCCGCCCACTTTGCTTTTTAAAACCCTAATTCAATCACCACAGCTTTTACGTGGGTCGACTTGCTATTCTTCATCTCAAAAACCATCCTCATAATTTGTCGTCTACACCCATGAAATATCCTCCCACCATTAAATCCATGATTCCCCCTTCCCAGACCCCTAATTTCACCGCTCCCGATAGTCGGAGACGAACACCGCCGAAGGGGATACTGAAGAAGAACAACAGAAACACAGAAGCGGTGACTACTGACCTGACGGCATCTAAGAACCTCGTCATGGGACAGGTGAAGATTTTGAAACGCGGCGAAGCGTTGAACACGATTTTGAAAGAGGTGAATGATCGTAAGGTCGAAGCTATACCGGAGAAGCGTTTGGTGACTGATCGGGAAGCTTCGAAAGCTCTGATTGGTGGTCGGAAGGTTTTACCTCCAAAGAAGAATAAGAAGAAGAAAAAGAAGGAGAAGGCGGAGAATCGGATCCCTAAATTAGAAGCATCAAAAGCTGAAGATCTTGTTCTTTCCTCTACGCATCGATTAGGACCAGATCCGGAGATTATGTCGAAGCAGATGAAGAATATTTCAGACTGCTTTGCAGGATCTGCGTTCTCCGATTCACCTCCCCCGAGTTCAGTTCCATTGCCTGGTTTTTTTAGAAAGAATTTAGTTGCACCCGTGACGGAGGATGCCACAACCAACCTCCGGCGGATTCTGGGTTTGATTTAACCGACACCCCGATGATGTTGAGTACCAACCCAAATACTAGAATTAAGGGTAATTAGGGTTGTTTGTTCATATCAATCAATAGAGTCTAACTTGGTTTTGGTTGGTGGTTGAAGATTAGGATTAGGTGTTGGTATAATGGTATATGGATATAATGAAAGATAGATGTTGTAATTGTGATATTGAAGGGGAACTTTAATTTAATGAATTTGGTTTTCGGAATAAATTAGTGTTGGTGTTTATGCATTTGCTGTGGTTCTTGAATATATAATACATGTCTAATGGCTTTTTTGTTGTTTCTATTAATGGATTACAGAAAAATGGTTCTCACGATATTCTTGAAAAATTAGGGTTACCATTTGATGTTGCAATGGATTTATCAAATAGATTACAATTAGCTTTTTAACATCAGGATTTGTTTGTTGTAATTTTATTAGAGTACAGTTTACATGGTAATCACACCTGACCTGATGTGGGTTTGTTATTGGAGCTTTCAGCCAGTGTTTGGTACGATAGACACGACATGAGTAAATGTTTGTCTTATGTTTGGTATGATTAGGATGGGATATAACAAAATTATTAAAATGACCATATTATCCCTAAATATTGGTCAATATTATTTTATGATCATATAATGACTGTAAATTTCAACAAATCAATCAAAAATATATTTAAATTGTTTAATCTATGATATCAATATTTTTTTAACATTCCAAAAACACAAGTAAATAACATTTGTCATACCATAAATTCAAAATACGCACATAATTTAAAAGGTTTAAACACAACAATTGTAAATAACATTTGATTGAAATCGAGAATGGAGGTTGTGGAAGAGAAGAAAGAGGAAGCAATTAAATTAGGTTTGTATTTTGATATCAAATAATAAGGACCATATTGTAATCTCAAATTTAGTCTCATGTTGTTCTACTTTTTTTTTGGTGAAACAAAAAACTCAAGAATAGTCTCACTCAATCTTACTTTTGTCTCATCTCATTTTTGTTTCATGGCATACCAAACATGAGACTATTTATTTTTGTAGTCCCACCCAGTCTGCATACCAAACGCGCCCTCAAAAACCAAGTTCAAAAGGCACAAATTTATTATTAGACCCCATCTCCGTCTCCGATCTTCGTTTTCGTCTCTGCTGAGTATTATGATAACATACTCATCTCCACTCTCAACGGGGAGTTATGGATTTTTTTTTCCTTTTATATGACTTATTTTATACCAAATGTGTTAAATACTACATTTGATTCAAAATTCTCCATGTATATATCTCTCGTATTTTCAAAATCAAATATTCACATGTGAACAAAATTACAACATTATACATAATTGTTTAATCAAAAAAATTTGGATGATCTTATTTTTTTATCTAAAAAAGACAAGTTAAAAAGAATGTATATAAGAAAAATGGTGAAAGTTCGTGAATCTAAAAGATACTAAATTTAATTATTTATAAATAATATATATTTAATAATAAATATATGATGGGATGAGGCGGGTTGGGGATCACGTTACCCGACCACGACCCTATTCCCGTTTTTAAGTTTTGGGAATCTCGATCTCCATCTCCGATTCCTAGTTTTGTTGGGAATCCTCGGCCCTGGTTGGGACGGATACACCGGGTTCCCAAACAGAACGAGTCTCATTCTCATGCCTAAATACAAAAGCCTTGCACTCCATCATTAATGAAACCCCAACCAACAATACATGTTCAAACAAGCAGAAATTTCCCTTTGAGTAATCATAGATGCAAAATGTTCAATACATTATTAATATTATTATTATTTTCTTATTGATTTATCGTATTTTATGAACTTCTTTTATGTCTTATTTTATTACAAAAAATATTTATCTGAGATAAAATAAAAACTAAATAAAACAATTCACATTCCAATATAAATATTTTGTAAGAAACTTTGTTTTGAAAACTTTGTGATTATATTTGAAAACTTATTATTTTTGTTGTGCGCATTATTTAGTCAAGTATTTTATACAAGAAATTGGTACGATGTCTTTTTTTTCTTACATTTAGTGAACATGTATGTTCAAGGTTTTAACAAGATATATGAATTTGCTATAAAAATGACATTTTTAAACCATGTCCGAGTATTGCTTGAACAGTGCTTAAGCACATCATTATATAACCAAGTCATAGAGGCGGACCTACTAAGAGAGTAGAGGGTGCATGGGTGTCCATTCAATCGTCTTGTCGTAATGGAATTTTTTTTACCGGATGTAATTGTGCACCCGTTTAATTTTGAAGGGTGCTCTTAATATTTTCTAAAACTAAACTTAAAACAGAAATGTGAGGTAGTTGGAATGGTTGAGGTAGGGGTGTTCAAAAACACAATCAACACGAATCCAACCCAACACGAAATAACTCAACCTGAAGTAACCAGATGTATAATAGAGTAGTAAAATCTTCAAATCACAAGTATCGGGTTGATATTGGGTTACTTTTTTTTTTCTAAATCCAACTCAACCTCATGAACCGATATCCTTTTCTTTGATTTAATGTTAGTATTGAGTCTCTATTAATATGTACATAAGAAATTCACCATCATGTACCCTCAATATGTTATCAATCTCTATATAACTCATTTGTATTTATGTTTAGTAACTATGAACACACACACACACACACACACACACACATGTATGTATATATATATATATACATATATGTATGTATGTGTGTGGGGGGAGGGTGGTTGGATTCATCTAAGACCAGACTGTTTTTATAAAAACCGTGAGACCATTTTTTTACACTTGAAACTTGACAGCAAAACACTGTGTAAAAAAGACTACACGTTTGGTTGGTAGGAATTGTAATGAAATCTTTCAAAAAGAATTGAAACAATCGTCTTTATTTGAACTATCACACCCATTGCCTCGGCCACACCCTACCAACCACCATGTCACTAGTCGTCATCACAGCGATCACCCTGCACCTACCCAACCCCTGCCCCACAACTGCACTATAGGTGGGGGTTGTTGGGGCAGACAAGATGGGGCGAGACGGTGGGGCTAAAGTGTGGCAGTGGGTGGTAGCTATGACGGCTATGGTGGTAAGATGGTGGTTAGTGGTGGGATGGAGTAGGGTAAGATGGGACGGGGTGGGTGAGGCTGGACGATGGGGTAGGTATAGGTAGGGGTAGGTGACGGGATGGTAGCTGTCACGATAAAAGTGGTGGTATGGTGGTCGGGTGGCTGGGAGTGGATAGGTATGACGACAACAGTAGTGGCATGGTGGTTAGTGGTGGGTTGGGGTAGGGTGGGAGTGACAGTTGTAACGACGACAATAATGGTGTGGTGGTGGGGATTAGGTTAGGGGCGTGACAGTAACGACAATAACATGGTCGTAGTAGAGATGTACAGTGAGTAACCGGGAGGTGGGTAGGTTACAGTGGTGGCATGGTACTTAGTGGTGGAGTAAGGTAGGTGGGTGGCGACGACAGTAGTGGTGTGGGGGAGGGGTTAGGGGTAGAACATGACGACCAATAATAGCATGGTTGTGGTGGGTGGAGATGAAATTCAATTAATTCCATTATATCAAGAAATGACGAATTCATTAGTTTGTAAAATTCAATAAAATTTGAAGGTTCCCATCTATTTCCCATTATTGTTTTGTGGTGTTCCATTTTCTTTTACTTTTCTCAACTTCCCCCTTCTCGGAAGAAAAAGGTTTTCAAGAACAAGTCGTTAATCGAATCACTGCAAATATAAATGAGTGGAGAGAAGCAAATTTGAACAAAGCAAAATACATGTTAAATTAAATTACAAGTAATGGTAATTACACATTAGCCTTAATTACACATAAAAAACTACTTGACTCCCTTCAAACATATTGACCATCACACCATCAAACCCTAACCCTAGTTTCCCCAATCGATTCATATGAACAACACCCACACCCACAACAAACAAACCCTACTGTTAAGCCTAACTCTAATAGACTAACAACAAAGCATTTGCTTACCAAATTCCAACTTCGCCACTCAAAATTATTGTGGCAACTGAAGCGAATTTGTTGCAATCGATGATTAGGAAACTTAACTGTATATCGGATTCTAAGACAGGCTCAAACCAAGGATTCGTCGGAGGTCGGTGGTGGGATCGACACTCGCGGCTGCAACAAAATTCTTTGTGAAAAACCCAGGCAACGGAACGGAGCTCGGAGGGGGTGAGTCGGCAAACGCGGATCCGGCGAAGAATTCTGTTGTCTTATTCTTCATCGGCTTCGACGGCATCTTCGGATCCGGTTCCAACCGATTCGGTGACGAGGATTGGTTCAAAGCTTCGCCACGTTTCAATAACTTAACCTGTCCTATGACGACTGTCTTAGAAGCCATGGCGGCAGACGTTTCAACCGTCTCTGTATTTCGTTCGTTCTTCTTACGTGTTCCTTTGGTAGGCGGCGTTCGTCTCCGGCTATCGGATACTATGAAATTAGGGATCTGGGAAGGGGTATTGGTATAAGTATGATTAAACTTAATCGTCCGATTAGATTTGATGGGGGAAGAATGATCCTTGAGGGAATCTTGAGGATGAAGAACAGCAACACCACCCATGGTTTGAATTTGAAGAAATTAAAATCTAAAAAGAAAATGAAATTGGAAAAAGCATAGAGGAAAAGATAGGATGAAGAGAGAAGAGGGAGGAAGCAGTTCTTTATAGGAAATAAAGGGAAGCGAGTAAATGGGTCGGGTTGCGTTGGGTTTACTTGACCTAGTCAACAATTTTGACCACTAATTTGGTTTTGAACATCTTTGACTTTCTTTAAACTTTGACCTAACTTTCCATTCCATTTCCACCCCCAACTTTCTTAAAAACGATTGTTAATTTTTCTAGAGTAAACTAATGTTTTTTCCCTATGGTTTCCTAAAATGTACTCTTCTATTCTTTCTGTAATTATAATTTTATTATTTATGTTAAAAAACTACATTAAATAAAGACGTTTTACGATTTTTTTTATTTTTTTCATTTTCATATATGATATATATGTTGTTACATTAAATATACACACATAAGACATACATTGACGCTTCTTCTTCCCCACCTTGTGGCCTCTTCTTTGTCTGACGACCTCCATCATAGCCACCGTCACCGTCCACCCTATACTTGAACGAAAAACTCTCTCTTCTCACCGTCATTTCTTCACGCTCTCTACATAAGACCTTACCTACAACCATGCCAATATGTCATCCCTATCTTCCCTTTATTTTCTATCGTCTCCGTCTTCCCCAAACCACCCCTCATTCAACCTTCTAATGGTGGCAAACCCAACTTCTTGTTATTGCCATTGTTGAAAACAATGGTGTAAAGGTCTTTGCTTCATTCTTACGCTCTCGAATTGCAACATATAAGCACAAAAACAATCGGCTCTGTCTTTTCATCCTTACAAGTTATCTACGACAACGACTAAGTTTTTGGTCATTCTATATTTGTCAACTACCTTAAAAGACAAAAATCTTAAATCCCACCACTTTCTTAAAAAGTCAACTTAATTTATCAAACAAAATTTATATTAAATAAAGTTCAACCACCTTATCATTGTAATTTAGAAAATCCTAAATTAAAAAATGGTAGACATTATTCAAGAAAGTTTACCCATATGATGTTTTATTTTAAATAACGTTAGTATAAATTTAAATATCATATGATTTATTTATGAAAACTCAAAAATAATTCAATTCATTTTTGAAAAGAAAATGTGACACAATTATATTAAAAAGATAAAAATAAATTAATTAGAAAAATAAAAGGTGTTGGATGGCCGACAAGCAATCATAAAAAGAAGCGAAGACATAGGTGTTACTTTATTCCCTCTCAATCATCTTTGTTTTTGCTTTCGCTTTTGCTTTTCAAACAATTCACAATCTTCGTTTCTTTATATTTTTGCCGCAAGATGTGTAACCATGTTTTTCATTTATTCGATCTAATGATGCTTTATGCTTCAAGCCACCTTTGACGTTAGCCTTGTTATATGATATGGATCTAGACCTCATGAAAATCATAGTCTCACGTGTCACACGATTATCAGATACGAACAAAGCCTCGATTACCGTTGTCCATCACCACCACTGGCCATCTCTGCCGCCACCACTGACTACACTACATTGTTGCGGGTGCATAAAGTCATTTGATTCAATTTAAACCGACCGACCATAATCAGATATATCCAATTGTAATTGGATCAGATCCAAAATTTCAACATCCAAATTAGATCGGTCGATTCTTGGATGACAGTCCAGCATCCTATAAAACTTAACGGATCAAATCTGATAACCATCCAATCATGTTCCAACTAATATCCAATTAATAATTATATATAATTATTAATGTTGTATAATATTATTTTTGAGTTGATATTTATATACATTGTTTTTTAATAACTTTAAAAAATGTGCGACCTGCATAACCAACTACCAATTAAAACCAATAAAGAAATCATAGTAAAATACGTTGCAAAAGGGAGAAACTTCCTTCTAATGATTCATATTCGATGATATGAGTCAAAGCTTTGTTTGTTATTGAAATTAACAAGATCAAAATCATCAATCTCTCCTATATTTCAACTTTAAAAAAATTGATATCAGTCTATCTTAACAGAAGAGAAAAGACGATGAACAAAAAACAATGATGTCAAGAACCCAACAGCTCCCGTGGCGAGCATAATGGCCAACACCATGAATAGACAATAACCCAAGTAGAGTATCGCAGACACGGGCCCACTTAAGCTCTTGAGATCGAAAACAAGATAGTTAATTGAATACAAAAAGATATATAACGCAACAGAACCAGAAGCGAAAAACGATTTCCACCACCATTTCCAATCCTCGACACAAAGGTGCATGTAAGTGAGAACAAGCGATACTTCGGCACAAACCATCACGAGTAAAATAAGGACGACCAAAAGAAACCCGAAAACATAGTAAACACGGCCGAGCCAAATGCTGGACATGATAAAGAATAGCTCGATGAAGAGAGTTCCAAATGGGAGCGTCCCGGCTCCTAGAACCAAAAGCCACGAAGGGAATCTTGGAGTGGGAATTTCACGAGGGATTTGGTTTGTGCGAACAGGGTACTCGAGATACCGAGCTTTTGTGGCAGCAAACCCACCGATTAATGTCAAGGGCACCGATATGCAAAACCAGAGTAAGATTAGAACGATGAACGTTGTAAAGGGAATGGCGCCCGTGCTTTGACTCGCCCACAAAAGTGAATTTAGTATTGTTAGTATCAGGAACGAGATACCCGGGAAGAAACACGCGACTCTTGATGCCGCGGAAAACCATCGTCGAGGGTTCCCAGCGTCAAGTGTCCTTTGTAACCAAACAGCAACATAACCAGCAAGAACTCCCAATAGCAGATAAAACATAAGCATGCCTGCAAAAATTTGAATCTCATTTGTTAAGAAACTCTGAAAACTTATTCGTGATTAAATACTATTCACCATAAATATCATGCATTTTCATTATTAATGATATATCACGACATTTATTTGAGTAATTCATAGAAAGATGATTGTTACGGTTCTCAAAAATAAAGCTATCAAACATAAAACACGATATACCTGAAATGAGGGCCCCACGCGAAGCCGGAGACATAAATCCGATAGCAGCGAAGAATATAGTAGCGACCGCCATTCCAAGGATTCGACAACCATCCGCCACCATAACACACAAAAGCGCGGGATGATTTGGAGCTCGGAAAACATCAGCAACAACAAGCTTCCACCCCGATAATTCTTCGTTCATTTGATTCTGAGCCTCGTCTAACTCCTCATAACGAGCCAAATCTCTACGAATCGTCCTCAAGAATATAACAAGAACCACACCGGCAAGAAAAGTGATCACCATTAACGAATTCAATATCGAAAACCAGTGAACTTTCGCACCTTCCATCTTCAAATATGCATCCCATCTCGAAGGCCACTTTATATCGCTCAAAACAAACGAAACCTCATAACTATACGTCACATATCGACCTTCTTTTACAGCCATAGCCACTGAAAGAGGATCACATTTGATCTCTTTGGGGTATTTTGAGTACGGTTGAGCGTACTTGAGTAGACTGATATCATGGTTCACGCTACACGGTTGAACCTCGAACCCAACCACCATATAACCTTCGTTATTCGTTTCATTGCCATGGGTGATCAATTCGGCCCCATCTCCGGTCCCAATCACACCAACAACGTTGTTGTGCTCATACTTATGAACCAAAACCGTAAACTTCAAATGGTTAAAGACATAATAAACATCTTTAACCTTAATTCCAACAGGATAACCAGTCCACCTAAGAAAGTATTCATCTTTTTTAGTGTACCTAATTGCAGGAAGGTTATCAAGATTCAAGTTAACTTGATACATTTCATCAATTCTTTCTTTTAAAGTCTTGAATTCATCAGCTGTTAAGGGATTGGATTTGCATAAAACTATCTGGGTTTCGTTCTTGAACATCTTAAACCGATATGGAGAATTTTCGATTCGATCTCCCATTAAAAGCTCCCCAATGTTCTCAGCACTATCTTTAATGCCTTCAATAGGTCTACAGAAGGGTAAGGTGTAATACCCATATGGGATTTCTGTATCTATGGAGGTCAATGAATTGACTTTTACGGTTAATCGATCACCGACGTCGTATTTATGGGGGAAACTTCCGGGAAGATAATACCCATGAACAATTTCAAGAAACGAACATGAAATCAAAAGCAAAATCTCAAAAAACCCCATCAAGAAAATGGAAACCCAGATGCAGAATGGATCTGATCTGTAAAAAGATGAGAAATTTACCTTACGATTTGAATTGGGGATGGATCTAGAGATGGAGTGAAGTCGGAAAAAAGCAAAAGAGAGAGTGGTTCGAGGGTAAAAAGGATGGAAAGAATGTGAAAATGGAAGGAGATGATGGATGGAAATTGGGGAAGATGTATTTATAACTTTGCATTTTGGGGTCAGCAGGCAACTACTTTTTAATTTCTTCACGTGTGTTGGTGCTTTCTTTTAATCCCACAAAAGTGGTTCAAACTTCTTTAATATTTTCTTTTACCATTAAAATAATAAATGTATTCTTCTAAAATATAACAATTAATTATATATTTAATAATATTCAAGATGATTTTTTGAGTATTAAATTTTGATTATATACTAGGGATCATGGTCATTATCGTGGTCTAATTACAAAGTAAACATATATTCGGAGTAGAATATGTAAAACAAATAGACGACCTCATATCAAACGTCATGTTTTAACACGCTTTTTCAACCGTGAGGTGGTATGATTGTTGGGTCCTCTCCTCGTTTTGTTTTGGATGGGTAAGCATTTTCATCCTTCAGCCCTGTTCTGATCCATTCATTTTCGCAAGCAAGGAGCATCTAGAACACTTGTCAGTATCATTGGTTTTATTAATTCACCAAATACTTTAAAAAGTTGAGCGACCAGCACCTCTATTTGGGTCAGGAGAGCAAGCTAGGCTCCTAGCCCTCTTAGCCGGTTTATATATACATATATATATATATATATATATATATACATAGACTTGGGATCATGTGAGACCAATGGTTTTTCGTGAGACCCGTAAGACCAATTCTCAACACTTGGATTAGATTTACAATTATCAAATCTGAACATTTATAAACGCCACGAGACTTCTCATTAATTACGAAATTGCCACCTTGCAACTTTGCAACCATTAGATCATTAATTCATAAATTTGATCAATRAACATAAATTGGTCTTACGGGTCTCACGAAAAACCTTTGGTCTCACGTGAACCCAACGATATATACATATATACATATATATATATATACATATATATATATATACATACATATATATACATATATATACATACATATTACATATATATATACATATATATATATATACATACATATTACATATATATATACATATATATATATATACATACATACATACTTTGTAATTAGACCATGATCCATATTGTATAATCAACATTTAATACTCAAGAAATCATCTTGAAAGTTATTGAATATAACAATCTGTTATATATATATATATATATATATATATATATATATGTGTGTGTGTGTGTGTGTGCGCGAAATATCGTGTGAGAAAGAGAAATTATGATGAAAAACGTAAGAAAAGATCTGAATCTTTGAACACTTTTAATTTCATACCCACACATGAATTGCGTTTTAGAAATGAATTGATCCCGTGCATTTTGGTGCACCTCATTATTGTTAACATTTCCCTTAGGATTGATCCAACTGTAAAGATTTTTTTCTTACGTTTTTCATCGTAACTTTGTTTCTTACTGAAACTCAAGCATATACATATACACACATACTGAAATGAAAAAATAATGATAAATTAAAAAAATTCTTTTATATAAGATTTAGTTTAAGAAAGTATGTGAAGTGAAAGAAAATTTCTTAAAAGTAAATCATGTGAAATAGTTGAAGACTTGTACGAAATCTGTGTCTTAAATTGTTTGTTATAAAATGAATCGTTTTTTTAATAATGATAATGGAGAATCACACAATGTAGCGATATATATCTCGATTTTAATGTTTCATTTTATTTACTTTTTTGCCTTAGTCGATGTCATAATACGATTTTATGTGTTTTTGAGAAAGCAATAATGTTTTTGTTTTTTTGAATAAAAATATAAATATTAAGATATATCATAAAAAATGAGAGGAAAAAAATTATTGATATTGGTATCAAACTAACTATTTAAAGTTTTTTTTTTGTGTATTTCTTTAATTTATTTTTTTATTTTTTATTTAATAATATATATTTTTATAAATATAATAATTAAGTATTTTATTAGAACTAAATTATTATCTTAATTACATTTTAAATCTTTTATATTCAAAATGAGATGTTTATTCTCTATTTGTTATGTTTATCTGCAGTTAGTTACACTAATTCAAACATGAAGCTTTAATAAGTTGTATTTACGCAAATTTTATTTGTAATATTGAATTTTAAGTAATACGCATCAATAAACAGTAATTCATGTATAAAAATTGTTTTTTAAGAGTTCCGTCAAATACTTCACAATATAACTAGAAGGGTACTCGTGCAATGCAACGAGATACATCTCGATTTTAATGTTTTATTTTATTCTCTGTATCTGTCGATGTTATAATACGATTTTATGTGTTTTTAAAAAGCAATAATGATTTTATTTTTTAATATTATATAAATTTGAAGATATCATAAAAATTTGAAGAAAAAAATATCAATGTTTATAGCATATCAACTATTTAAAAATTCTCATTTTTTATGTAATTTATTTATTTTTATTATAATTTAATTTAAGTTTAATGACGAAATAATTTATTTTTGATTTAATAATATAACATTTTATAAAAATAATAATTAAGTATTATGTTAGAACTCAATGATTATCCTAATTATATTTAGATTTTTTATATTTAAAATGAGATGTTTATCCTGTATTTGATTATGTATATCTGCAGTTAGTTATACAAATTCAGATATGAAGTTTTAATAAGTTGTACTTACGCACAATCTACTTGTAATATTGAGTTTTAAGTAACATGCATTAATAAACAGTACTTTATGCATAAAAAATGGTTTTTTAGAGTTTTTGTCAAATGTTTTATAATATAGTATAGTAATTTAAGTTTAATAATGAAATAATTTATTTTTGGTTTAATAATATAACATTTTATAAAGATAATAATTAAGTATTATGTTAGAACTCAATAATGATCTTAATTATATTTTAAATTTTTTATATTTAAAATTAGATGTTTATCATGTATTTGATTATGTTTATCTGCATGTAGTTACACGAATTCAGATATGGAGCTTTAATAAGTTGTACTTATGTAGTTACACGAATTCAGATATGGAGCTTTAATAAGTTGTACTTACACACAATCTACTTGTAATCTTTAGTTATAAGTAACATGCAATAACAAACAATACTTTATGCATAAAAAGTTATTTTTAAATTTTTTTTATCAAATACTTTATAATATAGTATAGATATAAATAACTTACGATATTAATTATTCACAAAATCAAATAAATGGACAAAAAAATGTTGGTGGCTCACTCCACCCTAATCTAACTTGTTTCTGCACGTCCTAAAAAACTTATTTGTTCTGTAACTTTAAAAAATAATAATAATAAAGCCTCGTTCATGTCGTGGGGTAATTGTGATATGTCTTCATCAAATACTAATAAGATATTTCTCAAATTAGGGTTCGTTTATTAAACGCTTATCTGATAAGTGTTTATTCAGTCATTTACTTTACCGGATTTATTATAGTAGAGGCCGAGAATCTTACTCAATAAGAACGATCATAATGATTGAGAGTCTTATCCGATAAATGAGGATAATTACTTTTAACTGGTAAGAGCTTATTGGGTAAATTATTGCTTACGATACTGATTTGATAAATTACAATCTTACCAGGTAAAGTAAGTTAGAATGTTGACTCTTGTAGAATGTAGAGATAAGGGTTTACCGGGTAAACGACCTCTTAGTTTAAGTAATTTAAAAGGCTTTAAAAAAATTTGACGTAAATTTTATGTCAATGTTTTAAAGTTGTCTATTACTTCAAATAGGGTGACAAATTGCGTTATTATGGAACCAATTTTGCTTTCATTTATATGTAGGGGAACTAATTATCAGAACTTTATTTTGGAGAATCAACTTTGCCAACTTCTCATCCAAGGACTTAAGACCAAATTTATATTCTCCAGATATATGAATTTAATCGAAGTTGGTTTTGCTTCTTCAAAACATGAAGTTTTGAGATTTGGTTTTTGAAAATGTGCAGTTTCAAAATTGTTAATAGTAGAAACGAGTAGATATCACAATTTGAGCTCCAATTATGGATTGTAACATTTAGTTAATTATGTTGCTTTGACTTGTGGATTGTAACATTTGGGAGAAAGTAAATGAAGAAAAGCTCCAATTTTGAGATGTAACATTGGGGAAGAAKAAGAACAATTATATCGACATACTGTTAGAGTGTCACATCGGTTAGATTTGGACAAATTCTCCTCTATGTATGTTGGAACATCTCTTCTCTCCTTAAGAGATCTTTTGGAGAGTAATCTTGGGATTCCATATATTCTCACATGGTATCAAAGCTAAATTCTACCATCTAGGACATCTTTGCCCGAGACTCAATACTCTAGGACATATTTGCCCACCTAACCCCTCTCGACACTATGGGACATCTTTGCCTAGCAATCTATCATCAGTTGGAGGGGGGTGTTAAACTCTCACATCGGCTAGACTTGGATAAATTATCATCTATATATGTTGCTTTTATTTTTGTGTAATTTGTTTTTTTGTTATTATTGTTGTGAAGACATAGTGTTTAGTTTTTGTTAGTATTTCGAATTTTTGTTGTTGTAGTTTATTAGTGGGAATTTGAAAGTCATCTGCATCTACATCGAATAAAATAAAATAACTAAAATCCCAAATCAAGAATCCATGAGAAATATATAAATAATAAAATCGGTTAGATTAATATCGTATATTATAAAATAAAGCTTAGAATTTACGAGGTTATGGCTTCAAAAGTTGCAAATTTGATGGTGAATACCAGGTTTAAATCCTTCAGCCTCCAATGGTATCCGTACAACATGATAACATGATCAAATTGTACCAAAAAAATTATCAAACTACAAAATCTCTTTATACGATGTTAGTCGTCATTACAAAAAAATAAAAATCAGTTGACAGCTTAAAAGTCTTTGTGAAAAATATAAAACAAAACATGATGATGTCTAATTCAAATTAGCAATTATTTAATTAATTAACCAAAAAATTATTAGACACAATCAACTAACATTTTAGTTAAATAATTCCTTATCCAAAAACGATTTAAGTGCACTACCATTTAGGTTGTCGTTATGTTTTTTTTATTAACCTGGATATCCAACCCGCTATGCAAGCAGACTAATTTCAAGACGACTATCTGCTTTGCAGATAGCCCGGAGTCACCGCATTTGAACATCCGTGGCCACATGATATTTTTATTCTTTCTTGGATTTGAACCTGAGACCTCATGGTACTTTTGTTATTTGGAGTCAAGCTCAAACCAATCAGGCATCACCCTTGTGGTTGTTGTCGTTATGTTGACAACACTATAAACTTCATCATCTTTAGAGTAAATTACGAGATTGGTCCATGTGGTTTATCATTTTAACATTTTGGATCCTTATTTTGAAATATGTATGTAATACATTTTTGTGGTTTGCAGTTTAGAATGTATTGGTATCACTAACCTCATCCAAGAAATTTTGTTAACTTAATTAGTTTAAAGGGGTATTTCAGTCATTTATTTTATTTTTTATTTTCTATTAAATCACATGGACCAAGAATGTAATTTACTCTATCATATTTATATATATATATATATATATATATATATATATATAGGGGCTGGTTCAAATACTAACCAAAACTATTGTGCAAACTATGTTAACCCGATCTTGATCGTTCATTTTCTCATCAAACGGTCCTTATTAAATGAGACTATAAAAATAATCATTTAATCAATATATTAATTGAGATGCCTATGAACAACGGTTCAGATGGTACTTTTGTAAATACATCGCATGAACACGGTGAACATTTATATGAACACGGTGAATGTTCATGGATATGAACACCATGAACACCGTGAACATCGGAATTACCTAATGATCAATTAGAAGGATCTTAAAAGATTTGTAACTCCCAAATAATTATTAGGGAGTTACATAAAGGTCAAATTACAAAATGACTCTTGTATTCAATTTATAAGTTACATTTGAACATAAAGTAAAAAAAGAATGTGATTGGTCGATGTTGGTTAGTAGAGTTAACACAAAAAAATGGGTTAGTATTTGAACCACCCTCTATATATATATATATATATATATATACACCCACATACACATATATAGACAAATAATCGTGTCAGATTATAAGTTAAAATGAGAAGTGTAAAAAAAAATTTGAATTCATGATCACTTTTAATTCCAAACAACCCATGAATTGTGTTTTAGAAACAAAATGATCTTGTATATCTCATTAATGTTAATCTAGTACGTTTTTTCAATTATGATTAATCCAATGATATAGATCTCTTCTTACCCTTCTTAACACGACTCTCATTCTCAATGGGACCCAATCCTATTTATATATACACATACATACATATATACCCCTGTCGTCATCTCTATCCAAAAACCTTCCTTCTCCGGCCTCACCTTTATCTGGACACACAATAAAATAAGTGGAAATTATACAAATAGAAACTCAATTTCATCTTAAAAGCTTGATCAAAAACCCAAGTTCATTTCAAAATCTTAATCAAAAACTCAAATTAACATAAGAACTTTGAAACAAAAACCCAAATTAAACTCTAGCGAAAATCCTAAATCAGTTCAACTCAAATTATCAAGAATATTGAAACCCTAAACCAAATATTAGAACCCTAAATCAGTTAAACCCAAGCAAGAAATTGAAATCATGACATATTGAATATGTGCCTAAGGAGAAAGCCTTTAATTTGGGATCCGGAATCGGCCAATCGGGGAGGAAGACAACGAGTGGTGGTGTAGGGAGCAGTGGTCCAAGCGGCTTCATATCTAAACTTTGGCATCTGACAAAGCATCCTTGGAAATCGATGGTGCGATGCTTGAAATCGAGAAGGGACTGACTTGAAATCAATGGTGCTAATGGGGGAGGGGATGGGGGTTTCACTTCTCTAACATCAAAACTTGTTCTGATTCTCGTTAAACTAGTTGTAAATCTAAACTAGCTGAACCAAAAGATTGTTCAATGAAAAGTTTTCTATCTTATTTATCTTTTTTCTCATTATTTTGATTTATTTTTAATATACAATGAACACATTAATTGTTAATCACTTCATTTTCCAAATTTTTTTAACTTCAATTTCATTATTCTACAAAGAAAATTTGAATACACAAATATATAAAATGATATATAATTTTATTTAATCCAATAT